CTGACCCAAAAATTGGGGGATCTTCGGGGGGATCTGAGAAGTCACCATCTCCCAGAAGCCGGAAGTCACTGTTTTTTTCATGCAGAATGGTACGGCGCCATGGCGTGGATTTTTCCACCGATTTGAAAATGGGCTTTTTGGGACATTTTGGGTTGCAGATAGATCGTTTTGATGAGCTGGTTGGCTGGTTGCTGGTTTCAGATTCGGTGTGGAACCTATCTACTGGGCAACCCAGTGCGGACGACGGTGAAAGCGCTTGGTCCAGGACCACCCTCCGATCATTTATGGTAACAGTTTCTGGTTGGTGGTGGCTGGAACCATGGAATTTTATGACTTTCCATTCAGTTGGGAATGGAATAATCATCCCAACTGACGAACTCATATTTTTCAGAGGGGTAGGTATACCACCAACCAGGTTTGCTATTGAAATGATGATTTCTAATGGGTAAATCATCTATGAATGGGCCATGTTTCATACTGTAGCAAGCTTTTGAATTCCTGGATGTCCGTTACCCTTGGAATCTGTTGACGGTGTCTCTGATCTTATTTCTCTTTCCCAGTGATTTATTGTCTGTATGAAGAATACAAATGATGTAATTGTAAAACTTGCATTCTCAACTTGTGAGTATCAACCTTGGAAGTTTGTTGTTTTTCTTCGAGGCCCTGAAAGTTGTGCTCTCTAGGTTTGAAAGTAGGTGCTGCCAGGGCCACCATGTTTTTTCTCAATCAAACAGAGTGGCATGGGATCTTTTTTAGTGTCGATTGGACATTTGCAATTTGCAATATATATATACCTGGAACACCGTACGGACAATTTTGTTTGTCCATTATGGGTTTGACCTGTAACGGATGTTTTTTTGTTGAATTGTGTATTTTGTTTTTTGATTTTGAAGGGTTGTTCAAATCCTTTGACAACACCGGGCTCGGACATCCTCTGACAGTCTCCAAAAGAAGAATTTCTGGAGCAAATTGGGAGTCGCGATAGAGTACCCAAATCTGGCCACAAATACTGCCATATTTCCCACCAAATTTGGATGTACCAATAAAATATAATGAAATACTATATAGTATTTTTCAACATCATGTTGAAAGAAAACAACAGTAAGCAGATGTCAACATCTGCCCCAAATACTGTCTCTAGACAAGACACTCATACTGTCGGAACCTGTCCGACAAATCCAAGACTTCAGGAAAACGATTGACCAGTAAGTAGAGGGTTTGCAGCCGGACATGGCCGTATTGGGGAAAAAAAAAACGTAACGGACAAAAAGAATGTCCAAACCCGTATGGATAGAAATTTTGTCTTTATGATTTTCCAGGGATATATATATATACACATCCAATAGACACACACACTCATGTATATACATATATATGTATTATATTGTATTATCTATATCTGTATCTTTATCTATATCTATATATATATATCTATATACATGGGTGTTTAAACATAGAGGGGCTAGAGATCGCCACCAACAACGTCCCAGGGCTTGCAGAATGTGCTCATGAAACTGGCGGTCCTGGAGCCGCGGGAGATGGGTGTGTCTGAACAGAGAAACAAAGATGAACAGCTCATCATTATATATATATTTATATTATATACATATATATATATACACATACATCATCATTGTTGACTATCATCGTGTTCAGTTCAGTGTCCCCTTGTCCCTGGGTGTTCCTGATTTTGGGCAAACCCAACCACCATTGACGGGAAATATCTCCACTGAAGCTGCCAACCGAATCGGTGGAGAAGCACCACGCGTGGCACTGTTGCCGCGTATCGGGGTCATGTTACAGGCACATTCCCAGTTCAAACAACACTTTTCCATTGAACAAATACAATTTTATCATGAACATGTTATTGTTTTTGTTCCATGCCAAAGTGGGCAAGTTTTCCAAATTGGCCCATCTCGTTGTTTCGGGCAGCACATGTTTTTTCTGTGCCAGGAGCATCAACAAAGCGCCTTTGATGCCAAACTGATGGAGTTGGATGCCTATGTCAAGTGCTCCACCAGGCGAAGATTGCGGCCCACCTGATGGGTCAATGCCCGTTGAGCCATCAAGGGCCATCCTTGGAGTATCCTGACACCACATCTGATCAAAGAAAAGAGGTATCCTCTGGATGGGCCAGAAACAGCGAGTTTTTCACAGTTGTTTTTTCTCCAAGGATCAGATTCGTGTATCTAGTCTTGAACACTTGTGGCTATGACACCTCAAAAAATTACATATACCCATCAAAGCTGAGGTAATTAATGAGATCCGTCGATCCATGAGAATGGTGGTATATCCAGCCAGAATGGAGATTTAGTCGATTAACATGCAGGTAGCGCCAAAGACGTTTAAAACTGTATGTTAATCACAGAAGCTGTGGCAAGGATCTCTACCAAGAGTGGTGATGCGACTACAACCAAGCCATTGTAAAGAATATATTATAGCTGTTCCGGGGACGCTAGGCTAGGTCTAGGCGCAATATTATATTATTTCAGATTGGGACAGATCAAGACTAACATTGACCGTGTTTTCTAAACAAAAACTGTTTAACTGGTATAGTAGTGAGAACGACCAGGCATGTGCCAGTCCCAAATAGTGCCACGTATTGGGGAGATAGACATCATTTACATTATCAAAAATTTACCAAGCTCCGCCACATGGTTATTGAAAAAGACATCTATATGATCTGTATGGAATCAAATATTATAGAATCACTATGGATATCTATAATGTAGTATCCGCACTATTGACTTGTTATATTACATTCATTGAAAAAAACACGTATGGCATCAACTATAGATGATGTAACATAATATTAATACCATTTTAATGTCTATATTAATATCATACCATTAATACTTAATACCATTATACAATATTAATATCATTTAATGTGGGGCCATTCATATTCTATAGATGTCTATAGTGTCCTCACCCTTTCCCCAGACCCAGACCGGACCAGGTCCAACGGTCTCAGTGAGCGTCGAGATGACGTGGCAGCGCTGTGTGCTCCGTTGCTGGAACTGAAGCAGGAGCGGCGCCGGGAGCGGCGACCATGGCATCTCCGTGTTGTTTGTTTGTTTTTCTGGAAAGTGCTTGTAGATTAGTTGTAACCACGGTAACCACACGTTTAATATATTGTAATATCATATTCGTGACAATACATATCTACATGTAATATTTTAATGGTATATATATATATGCAAATATAAATTCATATGCATAATATGTGTATTTAAATATTTGGAACATCCGCCCAAATTGGGGATTTACTTGGCTATTAATCACTTAGTCATTAGTAAGTGGGATGATTCTGCAAGCAACCTGCAAACAAATCGATGCGGGTCAAAAACTCAAAAACAGTTCCAACATTCAATTTGGACTCGGTAAAATGGTGGTTTGCTAGATTTGATATGGTTTGATATGGTTTAGCAAAATCACCATTGGTTCCATGTTTTGCTAGATTTCATGGTGATGTGTATATGGTTTGATCAATTTCAGTAAAATGTTGACCATCGTTGACCCGTCAAATCCTCCCGAAAAGGGGTTGGCTTGCCGGCACATGTCTGCCCCCCCAACCAATAAATCTGTAATGTGACAATGTGAAGCCATGATTTGTAATCATTAATTTGTAGTGTAGATTGATGTAGATTGATAAAGCTCTGGGCTATTTGATGTAGATTGATGTAGATTGATGTAGATTGATAAAGCCCTGCCTTCAGGAGCTGAAACTGGCTTCACAGGTGCCTTGGACATTTCGGCCATAAAATGTCCCAACAATGCCGCATTGAAAGAAATTAAAAGTGCAATTGCCTTTCTGAACGGTGTCCCTTGGAACAAGTTGAATAGCATTGAAACACATCTGGTTGTTGAACTGTGATGACATCCTTGCCGTGTTTGGTATCAGTTGAAAACCGCAAGGAAGCTTCAAAGTCGCGCAAAGAAGCACCTTTGCTTAACGCCCAGATTGTCCATGTTTGCCAAAAAAGTAACAATGTTCATCCGCAATTTACCACCCGGCCATGTAAAATTTTCTGTATATCCCAGCTGCTGGTTGATGAGGTGAGAAGTGATATCACCGTCGTTTGTAGTTCATATTCATCAGATTGCTTAATTCTTCTGTATTATTATGTACATATCACGCTTGTATTTGCTTGTAATATATTTACATCAGACTTGTCTTTATACGTATATAATCGTATATATATATACATACATACATATCATATGTATAGCACATCATGTTTACATCATTATTGATATCATTCAGGTCATACTTGTGGATTCATATAGATAGATATTATATACATACATAGCTGGTTGGTGGTTTGGAACATGTTTTTCCATGTATTGGGAATAGTAACCCCAACTGACTTTCGTATTTTTATGTATTTTTAGAGGGGTAGGTATACCACCAACCAGTCATTACTATTAACCATCACTAACCATATATTAACCATTGAAATCCTATTAAAATCCCATTATTCTTGTTATACATCAGATTACATCAGCTCTGCCAGGAAGACGAAGTCCATCGGGCAGAGCTGCAACGACAGGTGGTCGAGGCCGGAAACCCAGGATGGTCCGGTGTGACAGCTGGTGGGATATGGGTCAATATCAATCATCCCATCATTTCTTGGGAATATATATATATATGTATATATATATAGATATCTATGTATATATATATATATATCTATATATATCTGTTTCATGATAAGTTGGTTGGTCTGAAAATGAACTTACCCTGAATTCCAATGGATTATCATCAGTTTCCCTGTGAAATTTGCCATATCTTAGGATATAAAACACCACATCTTCAGTCACAGCCACATTTCTAAGATTGGTATAGGGGATATTAAATCGTTCCTGGGATGATTTGATCATTTCCTGGGAATTCCACGCTGTGACTGGTTGACTGGTGGTCTTGTATGCCAGGGCTTTGTGGGTCAAGCACCAAGCCAGTTGCCGTTGCCATGACATCGGGATCAGGGACAGCCGCCATGGTGTCACAGGATCCGAAGATTTGGGTGGTCGATGATTTCCTCCCAGCGGAGTTTCTGCAGATGGTCAACAGCACCTTTGACTCCGCTCAAAAGAAATGCCAAGTGGTGAAGAAGCCAAACGGCCGCGAGATCTTGGCCAGAAACATCGACTTTGATGCCGATGAGCTTTGCCAGGAAGTCTTTCAAAGAATCTCGGAGCTCTGCGGCATCTCTGGGGCGACCTGCGGTTTCACCCAATTTATGGTTTCAGAGGTGTGCGCCAGCGGCCAGGACGCGCATGTGGATCATGTGAACGTGGATGATGTTGGAAGCTCAAGGCTCAGCTTCCTTGACCTCACACGGCAGAGCTGTTCGGAAGCAGAGCCAAGAAGGGTGGTCCCAACCATCTCTATCATAGTGCCTTGACATGTCTTGACTCACAATGAGTTGGGAAATGCTGGGAAGTTCTTATCTTTGTGCAAACACCTGAATAGAAACTAAGGATTTCAATGCCAGGTTTGGGGTTGAACGTGGACCAAGGTGTACTTCAATCCAGTTGGAGGCATTCGCTTTCCCTCTGCCAGCGGCGTGAAAACCATTGCAGCAAAGGCCGGACGGATGGTGATGTTTCACAACTATGATGATGAGTCTCGACCCTCTCACAAGGCCTCTGCTGAGCACTACGGCATCTATTTTGAGACCTTGCCTAGAAGAGTGCTCATCATGGGTGTCCTCGCCAATCACACGCCCGATCCAACACAAAGCTCGACATGTTGCACACCGGCTTTGGTCTACTGCGCTGGCACCAGGCGAGACCCCTTGTATCATGACAACCCTTCCTATGATACCTACAAGACTCCACAGCAGATCGCTGAGCGAATCCAGGCTGATCTTACCGAGGAGGAACGCATCCGAAGCCTTTCGCAGCCCAGGGCGACTCCCAAATACGATTTGATCCTGACGCTGCAACTGGTCTTCAAAGACAATGGTCTTTGCGCAGTTGAAGGGCACAACGTGGCAGGCGACTTGATGTGTAAGATGAATGTCTCTCAGCAAATGATGCTAAGAGATTTGCGCGGCCACGTTCAAAGGGATGCAGACCCAAACAGTGCTCACAACATCCTCTTATGTTTGCCAAATGGGCAGTTGTTGACCGAGGAGCATGATATGTCGGTGCTTCATTCCTGGTCAGATGCCGCCGGCTTAGACAAAACAGGCAAGGCAGCGACTGACTCGAAATCATGTTGCTCAGGTTGCTCGGTCAGCTGAGCTGATGACCGTTGGCTGTAAGGTCATGTGCACTACTGGTTGGTGGTTTCAAACATGGGTTTTATTTTCCATCATATATGGGATGTCATCCTTCCCATTGGCTTTCATATTTTTCAGAGGGGTAGGTCAACCACCAACCAGAATATATCGGAAGCGTTTAATAAGTGCCACGCTTTGTCAAAACAAGTCCGTTGCGAGTTTGCAAAAAGACGTGTTCGACCCTGGGAAGACCATAGCACCAGAGCCTGCCAAAGTGACCATCATCAAATACGGTACTAGACAATTCCCCATAAACATGGACCGATAAGCGTTCCTGTTTCTAATTGTTTCTATACGTACTAGAAAATCTATAATTATCGAAGGAAGTTTAGAAGTCAAACTTCCGACCATATGGACAGATGAAAAGCAGAGATGGGAAGAGTCAGAGAGAAGAGAAGAGTAGAAGAGAGAAGATCAGAGAAGAGAAAGAGTCAGAAGAAAGAAGATGCAGGTGCGCGAAAAGGTAGGAAAGTCGCGAAACACTGTGTTTTTCCAATGATTTGTGGCTCCGGAGGGTCGAAAAGTAGGCTCGCTAAAGCGGATGGTGGCCAGATGAGAGATGAAAAATTGCACGCCGTTGTGGCGCAAAGCACATTTCGAAGTCAAAATGTACAAAACACACCAGCTCCGGACCACTTTTGGAAGTTGAGATGTCGAAAAAATGCACGCTGTTGTGGCGCGAAGCACATTTCCAAGTCAAAATGTTAAAAACACCAGGGGATCGGACCAGTTTTGGAGGTTCATATGTCGTTCCGCCTTGCAGGCGCAAGGGATCATGCACCTTGTCAAAAGTGAGCAAAACGTGAGGGTTTTGTAGCATTTTCAATTACAACCACCACTACACCACACTACATTCCAATACGCTACACTACACTACAACTACTACAACTGCAACTACACCTTCACTGCATTCCGCTACACTCCACTACACTCCACTACACTCCACTACACTCCGCTACACTCCACTACACTCAATTACACTGAATTACACTGAATTACACAACATTACACTACACTACATTACCCTACACTACACTACACTCAAATTCACTACACTACGCTACATTACACTACACTACGCTACCTTCCACTACACTACACTACATTACACTACATTACACTCGACCACGCTACAACTACAACTACAACTACACAACTACACTCCACTACACTCCACAACACTCAAATTCACTACGCTACACTACATTACACTACACTGCACTACATTGCACTACACTACGCTCCACTACACTACAACTAAAACTACACAACTACATTCCACTACACTCCACTACACTAAATTACACCACACTACACTACATCACACTTCACTACATCACATTCCACTACACTCCACTACACTACACTACATTACACTACACTACACTACATTTCACTACACTACACTACACTACATTCCACTACACTACACTACATGACACTACACTACACTACACTACACTAACTACAACTGCAATTACAACTACAACTACGTACAACTACAACAACAATACTACATTTACACTACGCTACACCACACGTCGCTACACTAATTACACTACACTAGACTCCACTACACCACACTACACTGAATGACACTGCACCACAGATAGACAGGTAGACAGATAGACAGACAGACAGATAGATAGATAGATAGATAGGCAGACAGACAGACAGACAGGTAGACAGATAGACAGATAGATCGATTAGACAGATAGACATGTAGACAGATAGACAGATAGATAGATAGATAGACAGATAGACAGATAGACAGGTAGACAGCTAGACAGATAGACAGATGAAAGAGAGAGACAGAGAGAGAGAGAGAGAGAGATGGATGGATGTATGGATGGATGGATGGATGGATAGGTAGATAGATAGATAGGTAGGTAGGTAGGTAGATAGTCAGAGAAAGAGAGAGAAAGCGAGGAGACCTCAACACCTTTCGGTCCATTAGTGGATTCGCTCTGCCATCCGTGATTCACAACAACCAATCTCTCCTATAGGTTTCCTATTTTTGAAACTTCCGCCACCTCCTTGTGCGGTACTACTGGTAGAAATACATATTGTATATAGAAATCGTGATGTTCCAGCTAGCTCATGGTCACCTGAGAACATACGTCAGAACCAAATCCCCTGCTTTCTGCAGGGCCAAAGAAAGCTCCGGCAAGAGCTCTTTGTGGCTTGGCATTCTCGACTTCGGGCATGGTGTTTTGCCTTGTTTGTTCATGTTCCGATTCCCCAACCCGACAAGTATACCATCATCATGAATCACTGGATGGAATTTAGCCATCTATAAACCAGTGTACACTTGAGCGGTGTCCAAAACCCTTGTTGGTTGATTGCTCTTCAGGATTGTCAAGTATTATCAATTCCTATTAACCAACCAGTAGAATGAAAGGACAGAGGGCTTTGAAGACTCACTTGGTGTTTGTTGATATTTTCGGAGGATTACCATGACCATTCATTCTCATACCAATAATATGTATATATACTTGGAAAACCGTACGGACAATTTTGTTTGTCCATTATGGGTTTTACCCGTAAAGGATGTTTTTTGTTCAACTGCGTATTTTGTGTTGTGATTGTGAAGGGTTGTTGTCACCGGGCTCGGACATCCTCTGACAGTCTCCAAAAAAGGAATTTCAGCCCGAAGTGGAGCAAATTGGGAGTCGCTATAGAATACCCAAATCTGGCCACAAATACTGCCATATTTCCCACCAAATTTGGATGCACCCATGAAATACTAGTATTTTTTCAACATCATGTTGAAAAAACATTAAGCAACATATTGCCCCAAATACTGTCTCTAGACGGACCACAACCGCGAGCTCCAGATCTCAGTGGGTACTGCCGGACCTCAGCCAGACACCACAGAGAATGTCAGATAGAATGCCAGAAAGAATGTAAGAATAATGGACGCCAGAAAGAATGTAATTTTGGGCAACATTAAGAATAATAGATGCCAGAATGAATGCCTGAAAAGATGCCAGATAGAATATCAGAATATATGCCAGCTAGGATGCCAGAATAGATGCCGGATAGAATGCCCGAAAGAATGTCAGAGTATTTGCCAGAAAGTAAGCGTATTTGCCAGAAAGTATGTCAGAAAAGATGCCAGATCAAATGTCAGATAGAATGTCAAAGTATATGCCAGAAAGAATGTCAGATAGAAAGTCGAAATAAATAGGTCATAATATTTATATATATACTTCCAGATGGTATGTCAGAAACTATGTCAGAATAGTGTTTCAGTGCGGAGACCACTCGAGTCGAAGAAAGTAATTTGAGGTGATGGGTCAATTGCAAATATGCCGGTAAGCATTCAATACCTAGATGCTCTGGGGTTGTACGTCAAAGCCTTTAGGATGTTGCTGACATGCCGCTGACAGTCCATCCTGCATCACCTGAAATGCTGGAGGCATATGGCATGTGACCACTCTACAGCGTGGAACCCCCAAAGAAAAACACACACTAAAGCATCCATGAAACAGTAGATACATTAGCAGTTCTATCTATGATATTATCATATGAGTCTGTTATTTATTACGAAATACCTAAAAGCTATGCTATATGTAATTTTTGGGGGGCCCACGCTTTCCTGGGATCCGAGGGATCCGCTGGGTAATTCCTGGGTATCTTCAGGACGTCATCAAGGGTTCAAAGCTCGACTCTGTGACTTCGAAGGCGGAGGTTCGAAGATGTTCCAAGAGATTTGAGGGCATACTTAGACCCTCCAAGTACCTTTAAAGTTTGGTAAATTTGAAAAAAGATGTAAAAGTCGCATGTCATACTGGGTATTTCACTGGTACATGGAGGTTCAACCGGTAGATATTTCGGATAGAGCTCAGGGGTTTGTACATTGTGCTTTTCAGAACCTGAAGATCAGCCTGGCTGACCAAGCCCTTTTTCCAAATGATGGCTTGGATCGGAGGTAAGCAACCCGAAAATACGTCAACATGTGAAGTTTGGGATATGTGACAACACTTCAGGTTGCTGGGATGTAGCCAAACCATATGGTACACCCAATTTTAATGATTTAACATGGTGGATGTACTGGGACCTTTAAAACAATGCGGATAATACGTTTTAACCATGTATAATATGATATAACCATATACCTCGTATAATCCATACTTGATTAGAATATCGTAAACCCAACCATGAACCTGCATGCCATTGAGGATGGTTTTGACCAACCATTTTGGGAATATTGAGGATGGTTTACAATTGTGTTTGCCACATTGGTAATTTTATGGGTTATATCCATGTTGTGCCCAATTTGTGGGGATTCACTTCAGGACCAAATGTGATCCAGCATCAATTGGGTATGGTGTAGACCTTATTTTTGGTTGATCGACCTTGGCATGAAATGTTTTGTACTGTATCAACGTTCTGCTCAAATGATACAAAAGTCGCATGTGTCAGGCTAATCCCCCATTGAATGAGATAACCTACTGGAAAAATGTTCCCATCGCAATGGGATATGCCAATATCATTCATCCAGTATCCCATGTCTCAATGGATCAAATATCCCTGTGGATATCAATGATGCACGTGCCGAAAAAAATGTGTATTCCACGTGCCTGATCCATTTGTTGACACCCATGAAAAATGAGGAAACATCCATGGTACTGATACTGGATAAAACATATTAGCACCTCCAAATTGACAAGGGCCCTCAGAATCGAGCATTCCAAGAAGGAAGGATTGTCTTCCTACCCCCAACTCATGGCAGGTTCGTCATGTTAGTTGGAGGGAACGTGAATCCCATTATATCCCCATTAACCTCGCTTTATATACGCGCATTAAATCTTTACCCTCATAATGATTGGTTTCATCCGCATATTTCTTGGTGAAATACCTTCCATATCTGATGTTTTGTAAATTAGAGGATGCTCATCCCTGTAGCAACGGGTGTTTCTGCTGACAGGAGAGCAGCTCTCTTCCTGTGGCGGCCACACAGAATCAGGCGCCAGAAGGGGCATGGGTTTGTCCATTTTCTTGACCGAATGGGGGATGGTTCAATTCCAAAAGCGAACTGATTACTATATATATTTGATACTTACTATATATATATATATATTCTGTATATATATAATATATATATATATGTCTATTGCATAGTTCCAGTACACGTTTCAGAGATTAAACATTCCAGTGCAAGAGCCCCAGTTCAAATTTGGTCTAAAACTCCATCTTGATATATTATTGTAGCTTTGTCCACCATTAATCCTAGTTCACCAAGTTAAATTCACTAGATCCTACCGTTTGGGTGCCCTTCCTGACCATTGTTTTCTTTTCTTCATCATCGACCTTCAAACTGCGAACAGCTTCTTTGAAAATAGGCTAGCAGATATCCCAGTTTTGCCTTTTAAACGAGTCATAAATTGAGGTAGCCATAGATAACCCATTTTCGGAGCCGAAGCATCACCTCAAAGCGGAGGTCTCCACCATGGTTCAGCAATTGCGACAAGAAGTGAGTCAGGACGAAGATTTCTGGCACAGTGGATGTTTCACGTGTGGTTTCTACAAAGTGCTGGCGCACTGCCCTGTTTTGTGTTAGCCATGGTGTGGTCATAATCTGTCATCAACGGCTAACCATAGAAAGCCTATCCAATTCAGCTATCGGGCACCACCATTTACGGGTTCCATCTTATCGGTGTCATTGTACGTACGAGCCTGTTTTGGGATGTGAAAAATGATCCATGCCATTGCACATTTGGGGGATGATTGTGGCACTAGTACTGAAATTCTGCGTTTCCCAGCTGAATATCTGTTTTGGCTCTTAGGCAGCATACATGCAGTTCTTCCTTTTACTGGCGACTTCAATTCACAGTTTGGGATCCCTATGCTGCAGGTTGTTTTGTTCCAATAGCTCTCTACCTGGAAAGACCGGGAGTGATACAACCTGAATTTTGCACACTTGGGGGTGATTTATTGTGCATTAAATTTAACTATTTGAATAAATATATAAATAAATAAATATATATATATATATTGTGTCCAAAATTGCCCATGATATCAAAATTGCCCATACCTGCCCATACCTAAGATGTCAGGGGATGTGGGATGTGCATCCCATGTTGGGTTTACCCCATACAGCCCCTCCTGCTTGAGGAGCAACGTGAGGCGAAGGATCAGGCGCGGAGCCGCGCGGATTTTGGGGAATTGGTGGATTATGGGATAAACATTTGAGGAGTTCATTGTATGTTTTATCTCAATGTTAAGTTTCAGAGGCCAACGGGATGAGTAGCTTCAAAGTTGGAGGTTTGAAGGTGTTTAATATGTTTATAGCAACGCCCAAAAGATATTTTTTTGATCCTTATAAATGATCATGATCATAGACTCAGGGTTCACCAACTTCCAACTTTGGATGCTATAATTTACAATAAATAAACCCCTGCAGTGCCCTGAGCTTGGTAGGAGTTCAGGGACGCGCTTCTGCGACTCCAAGGTGAACTGTCGAACCCCCAGCGTTGGAGCAGTTGAAGTGGCCCAAAAAAAATCAGGTATACATGCAAATTCTAATGTTTATGCTGGTTCATCATGGTTTGTAGGGATTGATGACCACAATTTCCCTGTTAAGATTGTCAAAATAGTTATGATTTGGGATATATCCAATTTCTGACCAAGACCAATTGGATATATCAAGTTGGGGTACCTTATCCTGTGATGGCTTTTCCTTGGATTTAAGTATTACTGTATACCCTGCAAAGATACCCGCCAATAGGTTATATATATATATATCATTATATATATATATATATATCGATATGGAATTTCAATTCTTTAGGTTTCCCGGTGTAATGAAAATAATCTACGGTTGGTTTTCAATATCTTTGTGAAGTTCCTGCAGAGTATATGGCAGTAACAAGAAAGGATATGTCAGTTTATTTCAAACGCTATGTTGGGAGTCCAAGCATCAGGGTTGGGTGTTGGGAGCCATTCCCCTGGAAATGATCACTATGAGTCCACCTGCCACTGGTCCCGGTGAAAGATAGGCTCACGCACTGGTTTCAAATATTGGTCTCACGATAGGGTAGAGCCTTCCACAACAATCAAATACATGCCATGTAGGCCATGTATTGCAGTATACCTCTTGTGTGGACAAACCCATATCATTGCCATGGTGTTCCGCACAATTTATGCGATCACTTGTTTAGCATGCGAACAGAGTTCTGGGCAATTGATATTCATTGTCAAATGACTATAATCTACTGATCTCTTCCCCCTAGTTGGTTGAATCCTGTACCAAAACGAAGATCCAGTGGAATGTATGATCTATTCAAGGCTTGGGGTCCCGAGTATAGGGTGTAATTGTTATATATATATATGTATATATGAACGATGGTGATGCTAGCTGCAATAAACAAATCAAATGTAATGTATGTACGACATATGATAATTATATATATATGTGTGTGATATTTTATCATATACACATTCTTCCCATTTCAGAAACCGTGTAAACTGCCTTGATTGTTGCTTAACCCCCCCATGATTGTTGGTCAAGGCCGGGAATACTATGACAAGGGGATGGGATTAGAAACGCAACTCTTACCTGGATTTGCCTTGGGCAAAACTTGGTTCAGCTCGTACTATCCAGAGAAAATGGGTCTCACATGCTTTTTTTCACCGATTTCCAGAGTTTCACTGTTTTGCAAATCAACATCTTCGTTCATGGAAAGCACATTTTGAAAGTCACTCAAGCTTCCACTTTCAAATCAGTTGGTGGAAGGACATGAAGCTTGGAATGGTAATCAAGTCCAGACATCGGTCAACTCTGTTTCTACGACGCTTGCCCATGTCCACGAGCTGAACTTGTTGCAAGTTTTCTTTAAGGTTGATCCACCTTTGGAGGGTAAATCCATGTGTATGAAGAAACTGGCCATGCCAGACATGCTTTGCCATGGCACAGTGTGCCAGCTGCATTATCATGGCGGTGGCTGCATCGAGTACAAGAGATCCGGAAAGTCCTTCCTGGCCGATTTCGCGAGGGCACCGAACTTGCAGATGCTCGGAAGTGGTCGGAATGTGGATCATGTGGGCAGAAGCTTGAAGTAGTAAGGTCAGTCTTGCCAAACGGGGCGAAGCACATTTCCATTACATGCCAACTTTGACCATGGAACCAGAACTTGACCTCATGCCAATCTATCCCCAAGACTTTTCCACCAAAAAGCACTTGGGAGCAGCGTGTAGCGTGGTGTACCAATCTCCAGTGCCGTCAGGATTGCTTCATGTAATGTAAACTCCGGATTGAACACCCCTGGCTGGTTAATTAATGTTAATTAGGAGCTGACTCCAAAAAGTGATCGTTTTTCCACTGAAATCAAATGCTACCACAATTTGGTAAACAGCCTACAGGATTATTCATCGGGGCCATTATCTGACTCTGCATCGATGTGTTTTGCTGCTGATGCTTGTTGAGGTCACACCCCCAGTGTCTTGAAACAAAAACACATCTTCGAGATGTTGTGACCTTTTGGCTTTGGTGACGTTTGAATGACATGTTTATCCGCAGAAAAGAATGGGGCGCATTCAATGGTGAGGATTGGTCAGATGGTTTCCTTCTCAATGGATGGGCATGGCCTCGCTTCCATAGCTGCGCCTTCACTTCTTCCTCTTAGCGCGGGGCAGAGCCGCGAGATGCGACCATGGGACCGCGGGTTGCACAGAAACTCGGCGTTTTCACAGAAGGTTTTTGTGTGTATTTATGATGTTGATTGATGTTGATAGATCTGGTTGATACATAAACTTGATAATATCAGTGTTAGTTTCAAGGGCCAAGTTGTAGGTGGCTATGGCCAGTAATTCTATGGCCAGCTTACCAACTAAGGACTACATTCGAAAGTTCAGTGACGTCTTGTGTGTCGATTTAGTTTTATTCAATTCCGAAATGTCACTTTTCATGCAGCAGCTACTAGCCCTGTATGTGCCCAAACGTGTCCGGGTTTGCACCACCATAGGTTTCTGTTGAATGGTTATAAATGGGAAGTAAGTGCAACATTGCTTCCAGCTGCTTCCACTTTTCAGTGATTCTTTAAGGAAAGCTTCAACGAAGCATCCAGAGATTTCGCAACAGCAATCTTCAAGAAAAGCTCCAACTGGTTGCTAGTGCAGAAGAGATCCTTCAGGAACTGTTGTCCCAGTCTAAACTGGACGGGGACGCGCTTTGCTCTTTGCTTCGGCGCTGCGCCGGCTGGCTTTTGGCCCCTTGTGGGAAGCAGCGGAAGGGACTGGAGGGCAGTGAAAGTGGTGAAGTGCATGCCAACTTGCAGAGCCGAATCAGAAAAATCGTGATCTCTGTCCTCAACCATTTGGATTTGTCAGATGCTGAGACGTCTTTGGCAGTGCAAGATGCCCTGACTTACATGCAACAGTTGCTGGAGCAGATTGATGACGAGTTCTTGGGTTCTCCATCGCGAACAGCGAGGCAATGGAGGCAGCTGGGGGAGCTGTTGGCTGTTCAGCAACGTGAACCAAAAGAACAGGGAGTCCCGAAAGAACACCTGCAAGTGGGATCCCAGAATTTCAAGGATGTTCAACGAAAGCCCTTCGAAAAAACAGATTGGGCTTCAGCTGCAGAAGGCGTTTACCGACCCAACAAACGGGTGAGCCTTGGCCTATGTCCCGTGTTGTAAAAAATTAGGAATATTTTCTTTGTAATATTTTTGTAATTTGTATGACCTCTGTCTATTCAACGCAGCCCTTTTCGGGTATTACCTTTTGTATCCAAAGACTTGCCCGTTTTCTTGTCTAAAAGTTGTCAGCAACTTTCATACAATATATACTGTATTCCAGCGGTCCAGCAGCAGCCAAGCTCAGGAGAAGTTTGGAGACAGTTTTCAACAATGAAGACCGGCTCGTTCAGCTGAAATGTCCGCAATGTCCGCAAAAGCTGAGCAGCAGCTGGTTCTTCCAGAACCCCAGAACTGAGGAATTGCGTGTGTTGGTTCCACATTTTGGCCATTTTCCTTGTACCAAAAAACTCGGGAAGCGATGTATTTGGCGAGCAATAGACGATACGCCCACGCAGGGGGACAATTTCGGTATTCTTCTGTATTGCAAGCACAAACGTCAGAAACATACCTGCAAGGAATGCGGCGGGCGTAGCATTTGTCCTCACAACAACAGACGACATTTGTGCCCAGCTTGCAAAGGTGAAAAGCCAGCAGGGTTGCACCTTTGGCCTTGCCAAGTTCGTTCACATGGTTCTCCTTTGCCTTTCGCCGTCATCATCGGGTGACACCTTATAATAGGCTTGTCGTGAGTTCTTGCATATGATGGGTGCCACTTGTAGTGTGCTTTCCACGTGAATCATTGGCAGTTATTGACGAGTCAAGGGATTTCCATAAATGCAAGGCAACCTACCATTGAATTTCTTTCCAGGGCCTTGAACTACAAAGGTTCTATGCAATAGTGCGAGCAGTGAATAGTTCTCCGGACCCCATTGTTGGATAGCCATGCGTCAGGTGTGTGATTCCGGAAGCTGTTAGATTGCATCTGTTTGGGAAAAAGTTGGTATTTCACTGACCGTCCGTGCGCCACTCACCTCCGTGACTTATATCGTTTGGCTTTCAGTTAGGGGGGACCAAGGGGAGATGCATCTTCCGGTGGCATTATGCATGGCGCTGTCTCGGCGTGTGGTGGGGCGCGGGAAGCGTGCAAGGAATCAATCAGCCTATGTAACTGGGTTGGCGAAACGGTCGCAGGGTTCAGATTTTGAGATGGGATGAGATGGGTATGGGCCCCCAAAGTGGATATATATATATATATATTTATATTATGATATAATATGATATAATGATACAATATATATATATAAGTATTTTTTTATAGATGATCATAGTATCATAATATATTTTAGAATAGCTTGATACTAAAAAATGACCAAAATTGTGGGTCCAGCGATACTTTACATACCCCAAAAATCCCCAATATGAAATCATGGATAAGCCAATGATTCTACAATCCATGTGGCAAGATGACCATGGAACACAAACCCGAACAGATCCGAACAGGTTCAGCGCCAGGCTGTGATAGGGGACATGTTTGGTTTTGTTTCGAGTGCATACCTTTCTCAAACGGAAACACGTTTCGAATTCCAGATCACTTTTGGAAGGAAGTTTTGAATTTGTGTGTTGATTCCAAACCAGCATGTCAGATGATTCTGCATTTGTTGTGAACATTTGTGAACGTGTTGCGAGACTGCTGATACATACTGTACATATCTGTACATGCTTCCACAATTTCGACGCGCAGTGGTACCACGCAAAAACGCAAAGACATTGCGTGTCTTGACAAATTATCATGTTTGCACTAAAACAAACTTCGAACATGGATTTGAAACACGATTAACATGCCTAATTGTTGAACTTTATTTTTCCATGCCTCAATTAAAACATGGATTCGATGTCGTTTCCCAAGCTTGCAAACCTAGCATAGCCTGCCTAGCTGCAACCTGGAAATTGGGTTTAGTGACCAGGACCTACTGTAGCCACTAGATGATGGGTTGGATATGACTGGATGGCGGCTTCACGCATATCTAGTGCTCTCGTAATTTTCTATGCGAGGAATGCAACTTCATCTCAGTGATACACAAAACCTGGATCCCCCATTCAATCCTTTTAGAAGGTGATGAAGGTGAAACTCTAATTCTAAGACTCAGTACCTTCGAATTCCTAATTATCAACATCAGATTCATATTTCTTTGTGGCCCCCAAAAAGACACCACTCTGGTCAGGCAAACGTCAATCCCTATGGCAGGATGCGCTTCAACTTCTAAGCACCTTGGGCTTGGACTTGGATACCTTCTCAAATTTCTCAACCCACACATCGGGGGAACAGAAGGGCACCAGGGTGCAAAGTTATGAGAAGTCAACCAGCTTGAGCACTTCCAACCAGAGAAGAAAGTACATCCAAAAAAACACCATGCAGGTGTTTATCTTGGTTTTGTTGTGTTGTGCCTTGTGCGTTGTTGTCTTGAGGGTCTACCTATTGTACGCACTATTTATGTGCTTTACCCATTCACTTCAGGCAGGTTGTCCCCTGTATTGCCAGCTTCTTTCCACTGAGGCGAGACTGAACGAGCTTCCGCCAGTCCTGACATCATTTTCTACAATTTGACGTTCCCGTCCACGATTGGTTGAATTTGCATGAGGGTTGGCACCAAAAATGCTGAAACATGACCTCAGAAATTAGCACACAAAATCAATGAGCCCTTTACTTTGTTTCGTCTCTGAGATAATGGATGTATGCAGAAAATTTCGGTGTTAGTTGGAGGCAACCACTTACGACGAAGTGCCGACCTGGTGAGGTCTTAAGCCAGTTTCCAGTGCAAGTTCCGCGGTACTTGCAATATGATCATAAAACGATAGAACATGAGAGTATATCAACAGCTTCTGGTAATCTAACATCGTATCGGAAAACCACCATTAAATTAGTAGGTAGATCGGATCATTTGCACATGGGAATTTCCCATAGATGGTATTTCCCATCAATATACAACAGTTTGCACTTTCCATAGCTATGTTTGATTACCAGATCATCAACCAATCAATCAATCAATCAATCAATCAATCCAATCAATCAATCAATCAATCAACCAATCAACCAATGAATGAAATAATCAATCAAATAATCAAATAATCAATCAATCAATCAACCAATCAGTCAATGATGCAATCAACCAATGAATCAAATAATCAATCAAATAATCAACCAATCAATCAATCAATCAATCAACCAATCAACCAATCAATCAATCAATCAATCAATGATGCAATCAATCAATGAATCAATAATAAGTATAATAGTTATAGTTAATAGTCATAGTAATAATAATATACCTACGTACGTATATTTGTTGGTTTTAGAACCCTTTGAATCACCATAAATTTCCATGTATGTTTGGGTATAGGCCTTATCGTAGATTTCCTTTCCACAGACCCTGAGTAATAACCGAGGCTGAGCGCCTGCGAAGCAAAACAGCAGTGGCAGATGGCCGTGAGACTTCTGGGTGCTGTGCAGGAAAGACACGACCTTCAAGCCAGTATCTTGATGGGTGCTGTGGTGCCAGTAATTAATCACCAACATTGGGGCACTGTTTGCCATTGGAAAGGGGGAGTTCGAAGATACATGCTGGCTAAATTGTTTTCTATTGATATATGTCAATGGAGAATTGAGGTCACTGTTTCTGGATCTCAGAAGACGAGCAAAACGGTATAGAACAGCATCCTAGAAGGAAGGTTACTCTTGACCCGCAGTTTGGTGTAGTCGAACAGACCCTAAATCATAGGAACTTCATTGGCCAACTTCACCACAATGCGTTCAAATCATTTTGAATCAGAATGTTTTTTTTCATTTGACCGGATACGTGAAGGATCTGTTGAAGAGTCCTAGAAATATGTCCTTTTCTCCGTGTACTTCAATGAACCGATTGATATCACCATTAGAACAAGGCATGCACGGGTGCCACAAGCTGCACTTTGGTAATCAAGCATGGCTGTCTGGGAAATCCCCGAACTAAATGGACGGTTTAATTGGACAATATCTACAAATGGACGATTTTCTATTGTCAAGTTTGATTACCAGACAGTATTTGGTTGAATCTTTCTTTATCAGCACAGCATATGAATGGATATGAAACCGTGGTTCTGGAGATTGACTTGGAATTTCCCTCTTCATTTTTATTGGGGGGTATATAACAGAATTTTGAAGTTTTGCACCGGAGGGTGTCACTGTTTCGTTCATATCCCAGGTGGCCGAATTCCAAGAATCGCTGGGGAAAATCAACAGGAAACCTTCCATATTTGGTGCCCAGTTGTTTTGTTTTTCCAGGCGGTCATGAATGCTAGAAACCTTTGTTCCGCTGTGCTCAAACATGGCTGGGAAATCCACGATAAATATGGAGCAACGGTAAAATCATCCTTGAGTAAATGGTGGAAAAAAAACAAGTGCATTTAAGTGCTATGTTTGAGGACACCAGAGGGTACCGTTTCAATGATGTGAAATGCCAGGCAGACAGTGACAGTCTGTGAGGCACGGTCACGGTCAACACGGTGCTTGCTGCATGCCGTGCGTCTTCATGGACCATGGCGGTGAAGACACTCGGCGACAGAGCTGTGGGCAAAACAACGGCCGTATCCATAGATCTCAATGGCTGTTGGTGAGTTGAATCAACATTTTGGGTATTTTTGGGTTGTTTTGGGTTGCTTAAATCATACTCTATACATATGTATATATATATATAATTAGGGTAAATCTAATCCATTATTTGATCATGTTTGGAGCTCAAAAAATCTTGACGACTGGTTGTAAATTGACTGACTGAAAAAACAAGGCAGACTTCTGCAGAACTTCACAGTACATGACTTTTTTTTCCGGGGGAATCTCCCCGATTGGTCACTTGTTATTTTTGGGTTGGTGACATAAGTGAGGCAAAGAAACGATAATCTTCTGAAGCTGCATCGGATTGAGAATTGTTCGGGGAAACAATGACGAAGAATGACATTGAAAAGAAGCACCATGTATGTGTGTAAATATATACATATATATACATTGTAGTATATCACTGGTTGTGTCCCGTATACTGTACCTCTTTTCAGCCATTGATGGATTTCTGTTCCTCGCAAAGAGGCTTAGGAGAACCAGTTCATGTTTCAAACATGTTCCAGCAAAGTAGTTTCCATTGACAGTGGGTGTATCTGAAGATTGATTGATGGTTGGTGGTTTGGAACATTTTTTATTTTTCCATATATTGGGAATAATCATCCCAACTGATTTTATATTTTTCAGAGGGGTAGGTATACCACCAAACAGACATCTATGATCATCTATGTATACGATCTTCAGCCTTGGAACCTTTCGATCCTTAGCCCCGCGTTGCGGATTCCAGCGGTCCGTCCCTGAGGATCTTTCGGGAGAGCCTGCGGCATGCTTCTGTGCCCCGGTGTTCGCCGGAGTTGCAGACGTGGATCCTGGGGGGCCTGGGGGTTTCAAAGATGTCTTGGCTCATCACAACTTGGTGATCCCACGTGAAAAAGACAAACTTAACCTCTGGTCATGCAGCATAAGGGAATATCCTCCGGATAGATAAGTCATCGCAATCATCTGTAAACTGCAAATAGGCCATGTAACAAATTACCAGAGGGTACAATACAAGTGAGATCATTGGGGCGAATTTCCGCTGCCCTGATGGTGAGTTTCTTTAGGCACAGCAACTTGCCCAACGTTGAGGGACAAGTGCTTAGATCCCAATATCACAGGCTCTGATCTGACATGGACCGAAAAATGTTAGTTTTCCATGGTTGTCCATTCATGGTTCATTGGTCAAATATGTTCAAATCATATGTCTGGAAATTTCCGCATTAATTTTCAGGGGCGTCCTCTGAACTATCCCTTGCAAGTCTATTGACACTTCTTCAAATCATGAGCTTCTTTGCTGATCCTCCAGGTTTTTGTTTTCTCAAACTAGACCAAGACCACTTTTACTGGATTCTCCAATGTTTTGAAATAACAAGACCAAGGTCAGTGCAGCTAAGTTACCTGGAAAGTTGTGGGGATGGGAAGTGCACAATCTGCGGCTGATCCCGCCCGGTTTGACAGGAAGTTCGATTCTTGTGATCTAAACTTGAAAGTTGAAATACTGTGTCAATCTGAACACTAGACCCTGTACCATATGTTCAACTTTGCATATTTGGGGCATTAGTCTAAGTTTAATCATATTTAAACAACGTTAACACATGTCGGTTTAATTGCAGTGTTTATCACCTTACTCCTTTCACTCTAATATGACACACTGAGAAATCATGGTTTAGTATAGGGGATTTGTTTTTTTTCAAAAAACATATACAGTATAATACTTTGGAACCATAGAATGGGGGATGGATGGGGGTGGTTTATATGAAGGGGGGCGGGAGTTGCGGATCTGTCAGGTGAATGTGATCAGCTATAACAGCACTTTGAAGCCTGGCAGCCATAGTGGATTGGCCCCTTGGGGATCCACGGGCTTATGAAGTCAGGATGTTGGTCACGTTTTTCGTTTTCCTAATCCTCGCATTTTGGTGGTCGCAAAATTTGAGCCATAGCCCATATGGGTAGAGAATGGTAGAGAAGCATATGGATTTACAAAATTTGCAACTTATCCCATCAAAATTTGAGGATGAATTTGCCCCATCGTTCTTAGTTTGCTTCATCAAAACTTGGCCTCGGTAATGATTGGCAAATGTAAATGATGTCATTTGCATTCATTTGCGGGCAATGGTTTTAGGATGACCTCAAGTCGGGCTTGCATGTGATCATGTGGCCACATTGTTCTGGGCTAGGCTAAGGTATATTAATTAAGTTGGAATCATTTGTTTTTAGTCAAAAACTGAGGTGTCATGTCTGCATTTGTGGGCAGGGGAGGTTGTTGCTAAACGCACATGTAGATGGCCATGATTGTGTCCCGATGATTCCACTTGGCTTATGTCAATGTCTTTTCCATCCCTTCACACTTCAAAATCAAATCTCCCTTCGAAAAGCCTGGTTTAGTACTGGATTTCTTCATTTTGGGTCTTGGGAGCCAAAAATGCGCGGGTATGTCATATTACTAGTAGGTGGAAGGGTTTGGTTTCGCTGTTGCTCCAAATGCGTTCATAGCTGCCCTTCATACCAGGAACTCTCTAAGTTCTGCCTTATGCTGGCAAAAAGCAGCTGCTCTCTTGAAGTTGGCACCTGTTCAACCTGCTCCTCGGTTCGAACAGCGGCAGAAGCCACACCCATGCTGATGGTCATTTGGGTCATAAACGAACATATCCACATGGTCTGGGCAAACTTTGCTTTGATCGCTAAATGTATGGTATACTGTAGTGTTTATTGCTTAGATAAGATATGATGAGATATCCCACCACAATGAATAAGACATATGCAGCACACACACACATACACTTAGAAACACCCCGAAGGGAGACGATGAAGTGAGATGAAATGAGAATTCATGTTTCCTCATGCTGGGTTTTTGGCTTTGCCCAGTTGCCATACTGAGATTACTGCAGGTACACACGGTTGATCAGACCATGCATCCCACTCCAAGGCATAGCTTCATTGCATTGGGTTTGCCAAGGTGTGCCCAATGCCCCTGCTCGTTGGTATACTAATTCAAAACGAACGATCGAAACCCATGTGCTGCACGCCTGAAGATGCACAGATGTGTCGGATTGGAACTTATATGCAACATGGACTTCTTCGCGCTAGCTACCTTGAACATGTGGTCCCAACCGAACTAATCACCAGAACATTCTCTTTGATTCAGGGTTCAGCACATACACTCACTCACAAGACACGCAAATCTACGGATTGAGGAAGAAACATGCTGGTGGCGCGTGATAGGACAATCATCAAACTTACCAGGTCACCAAGGCAATCCTGGGCACTGACCTTTCGGATCTTATACTAACATACATGCAAAGACTGCTGCAAACTGGGTTGAACATGCTCAGCTGTTATGATGTTTTTCGATACACTCGCAAGTTCGTAAATCTACGGTCGAACCACTCTCCACGATTTCGCAAGATGCCTCACGGTGCAGTGGGCTTCTTCGTGCCAGCTATCTAGAACATGTAGTCCGAACTGAACTAATCAACATAACATTCCCTTTGATTCAGGGGTCGGCACACACAACAAGCCCAGTATGGGCACATGCTTTTCCACCCCTCTTAGGCACGCCTGTTGCTCGGACTAAGTAAATTGAAATGTCACCCCTCATGCCAATTCAGGTGAGCACCTTGTTTGCTTAATTGTAATACAAAACAATAGGTTGTTTGTGTTGGAACAGCGAAGCATTAAAGACCATCAATCATAGAAATATTCATGGGTGCTCAACATTCTGGCTGCCATAGCGCGTAATGGCTTGTACGGATAACCAAGTGAAACATACGATTGAATTAAAAACTCAACATCATGCTGTGCTTGCTTGTATGGGTGGCTGTGTCTTGCTGCTAGGCAGATGCGGCTGTATGCGGCAGAGAGCTTGTGTTGTGTGGAAGCTGCAGAGCCAAAAGATTGAAACTGCCAAGCATTGTTTGGTTGAATGTAAGACAATGTATGTTTTTGTAAGTCAATAGTGCAGCCCAAAAAGGAATTGTCTGGTTCATCCTCAAGGATGACCGGTTCTTGGTAAAAGGTGTCTTGTAAGAATGGTTGGATGATTGCGTGGTGCTGTTGGGATTGGTCAATGAGTACAAGCCTGTTGTCAACGTATCGTGTGATCAGTGTGTGTGAAGATATTGTTGTACCTGTGGTTGGTTTAGCCAATCTTGCTCGGTCAGACTGACCGTGATGTTTGCCAGGACTGGGCTGATTTGGTTGCCAATTGCGCTGCCCCGAATTTGCTGAAATGTTTGCTGGAGCTGTGAAAAAATTGATGCCTGGAGAGACAAACTGCATATGTTGTAAATGTCTCCAAACCTGATCTGTCGTTTTGTCATTGCAGCTCGCCGAGGCCGTCCTCGAAAAAGTCGTAGTGTGGTGTCTGGCTGTTGCATGTCCACTGTGAAAACAGTGTCGTTATTTACATGCGGGTGTTGTTGTTGATATTGCTTCAACAGCTTGGCAAGTGCGTGAAGGATGCGGTCTGCTGGTATGGATGTAAAAAACCCTGCCAAATCGTGGTTGTAAATGGCAAGGTCCAGGTCTGCTGGTGCATTGTGAAAGAAAGTGTGGAGTGTATAGAAAATTTGCTGGAGTGATTGTAGTCCAAACGTCTTGGACATGCAGGCTTGAAGCATCTGCTGTAGAACGATGGCTGTGGCTTTGAGAAGCTTCTCAAAAACAAAACCACGATAGTTGATGATGGGCCTGGCGGCAAGGAATTGTTTTTTCTGCTTCAATAGTATGTAGGCTGTTGGGCAGTCGCTGTTGGTGTTGTATGCCCATTTGTATTTTTGAAGCCAGGGTTGATGTGTAAGCTGTTGTAGGTATTGTGTTGCTTGTGGTGGTGTCAAAGTGAGGTGGGTGTACACCGATGAATCTCCAAATGTTTTCTTGAGGACTGTCCAGTAGAGAAAAGGACAATACACAAAAATGGCTGTAGCAGCATGGTCGCGACAGTGAACCACAAACTGTTGCATAATCTTTCTGAGGTATTGAATGTCGCTGTGCCCAATCCATTGTTTGGATTGCTGCAAGTGCTGTGGCCACTGTTGTTCAATGTAACTCTGCCAGTCTGCATACGTGATTGTGTTAATGCTTTAATGTTGCAACCAGTGTTGTAGTTTGGGCCAAGTTTGTTGACAGTAGTGGTGTTTTGTAGGGTACACTTGTGTGCCAGCATGCGTGGCTAAGAAATTTGCGAGTCGTGCTGGGACATTCAGGTTTGCAGCAGGACTGGCAATATGTGGTTGATCACATATTGTACTGCTGGTAAGCCGTGGGTGTTTTGCAAAAAGTTGTTGGCAAGAACATGGTGGAGGTTCGTTCCAGGTGAATTTCTTCATCCAGGAAAAGTGGCTGAAAAGGGCTTGTTGCATGGTGGTATGCTTTCCTGCCGTAATGTTGCATTTTGGAATGTGAAAAGGTGGTAGCCATTGTTTGTGTTGAATGGCTATCTGCCGAAGCCAGTGGCGTGTTTGGTGACTGAATGTTTTGTGGCTCAGTAGAGGCAGTATCAGTGGTCTAGGACTTGGCGGTAGTGGTAGTTGTCGAAATTGAATAGCTGATTTGATCAAACTGCGAACTCTTGTTCTTGGTGGATCTTCCATGTTGTTCGAAAGTTTGTAGAGTGCAAATAGGTGATCTGAGTGTGTGTTGTTGGAACGGATAAACTTTTGCATGTCAAACGACCGTTGGCTTTGTTCCGCGAGTACGTGTAGTTGAAGCCAGGCAGTGGTGTGTTTGGACAGGTTGTGGTTGTAAAAGTGGAATACTTGCTTGTACATCATGCGGCGGCGGAGTCGCGCATACAGTCGCTGGCCATGTCCTAGGAATGTGTTTTGGCGATTGCTTGTCGCAAGTGTGGTGTTGAATGTTGTTTAGTGACCTTGCGCTGCATTATGAGTGGATAGTTGAGTGGTGGGCACCAAAGCTGGATCATGTAACTTTCCAGTGTTCGTGTTTGCAGTTGTGACGAGGTTGTTAATAACGGGAGTGGTACAAACTGATAGTAGTTGCCTTGGCTACAGAACCAATGCAATGCAAGCTCACACGGTACTGGTTGACCGTTTTGTAACTGTTTCAGCTTGCGGTGTCGGGTGTTCTGTCGATCATGTAATGTGTGTATGGTGCTGCCGATGTAATGTTCTGTAGACGACAAGTGTATGTTGAGTTTTTCTGTGCCGTAAACATGCAGCAAAATATATACAACATTGGATTGGTGAAACAACTGGCGCATATCCTCAAAAGCGCGGACATCTTTCAAATGTGTCCGACTGAATCTTCGGTTCCATTTCCGACACGAATTTTGATTAGGATGATTTGTAATCCAATACAAAACACAGAAAGAAACAGCAACACGAAGAACCAACCGAACAGATACAGAACAACAGTTTTGATCAAGCGGAAAATGTTCAAGACAACCGAAGAAGACGATACATGCGGCAGCGAACTGTACATGTTTCGGGTCATCTCGATCTAGTCACTCAAGCTGTGTCACCCCAAAAAGCAGCAACTTGTAGAGCTCATCCGCGCGGGCTTTCGATGCCACTGATACTGGCAGGCCGAGTGAGGCGGCCTTGTCTGCAAAGGTGCTTTGCTCGGGCTTTGGGATCTTCTTGAGAAGTCCGGTGAGTGTTGCAAGAGCTTCTTGCAATGCTGCTTGGTGTTGTTTGGGAATGCTTTGCTTTTTGATCCAGGCATCAACGGTTTTGGCCGTGCTGTTGTTGGGCGATGCTGAGGCAAATGGCCTGACAGTATTGGTGCCAGGGAGTTGCGTGATTTTGGCTTGAAGGTCTCCAATAGTAGTGCTGGTTGGTACATCATGTGCGCCCGCTGCCGGTACGGCAGTGGGTGAGGTTGTGTGTTTGCGTGTTCTTTGTGTGTCTTTGGTGTCATGGTTGCCCGGCCGTTTGGTGATCCCCATGTCCGTCAAAGTGCGCGATCTTTTGGCCGTTTGTGTGTTGGATGTGTCGGGCTTTCGTTTGCGTGCGGGTGTTGGTGACGGTGGTGCTTCATCAGGTGTGGTTGGCGGGTGAGGTTGTGGGGATGCGGCTTGCTCTTCGTCAGTGGGTACCTGGGAAATGGTCTGGGTTGCTGCTAGCTGTGCTTCCAGCTGTCGAATTTTGTCTTGGGCTTCTTGTAAGCTTGTATTGGAGAATTGCCGGAAATGATCCACTGTGGAATTCACAAGGTGGTGAATTTTGGCTTTTTTGAGTTGATTGGGATCTGGATCGGTGATCGCAATACCTTGCTGCTGGCAATATGCTGCTGCAATGTCATCTAAATCCATATGCTCATCTCGAAGTTTCATGGACAAATGGTGGAAGAAAATGGACTCTTTGATGCTGCGGGCAAACACAAGTGATGTGAATTTGCCATTGGCTAAGGCTCGAAGGCTCCAGTTGGACCAACCAAGGTAAGCCAATTCATACAGTCGTACGGAGTCAATGGGCCTTCCTGCTAGATGATACTTCTGACTCCAGGCTGTTGAGGTGACTTGGCGAGGAAAGGAAAGGCCATACTGTTGCTTGGTGTCAAAGTGGTTGGCATCAGGTTGGAAATTGGCTGGTATGTCTCGGTTGAACTGTTTGGTTCC